TGAAATACCCCAAAAAAATGTTACTTGGTAGCAGCTGGTCAATAGAAAAATAATGTTGAGATGAAAGGAAACGTGCCCAACCGTCTCGGCCATAGTAGGGAGTCGAATACGGGGGCCAAATGATGTTGGGTCGATGCTGCGTTTTCGTAACACGAAGTCGAGTTTCGAGGCAGTAATAGTGATATTAGCAGGAGGCGATGTAGTGGTAGCTGTAGGATCTGTCTGTCTGTCTGTCTGTCTGTCTGTCTGTCTGTCTAGTAAGATCTACTTACGACTTACTTACATTCTTCCGTGTTGAAATATCACGAGCCTAAACCAGTACTGACGAGTGGACGTTTGTAATGGTGGCTATACCGGTAGCGTATTAAACCGGACCCGTTGTACAAACAGGACCCGTTGTACAAACAGGACCTGTTGTACAAACCCGACCCGTTGTACAAACCGGACCTGTTGTACAAACCGGACCTGTTGTACAAACAGGACCCGTTGTACAAACAGGACCTGTTGTACAAACCCGACCCGTTGTACAAACCGGACCTGTTGTACAAACCGGACCTGTTGTACAAACAGGACGTGTTGTACAAACAGGACGTGTTGTACAAACAGGACGTGTTGTACAAACAGGACCTGTTGTACAAACAGGACCCGTTGTACAAACGGGACCCGTTGTACAAACGGGACCTATTGTACAAACCGGACCTGTTGTACTAGGACCAGTGCTATATAGTGTTCGTACCGGATGGTTCCTGCGCAACCTGTGATTTTCCGTGATGTGTTTTTCCCGCCATATTCCGTGTCCGTCTGTTGGTCGCTTCTTCACCCCGCGCCTCTCCTCGCGTTCGCTATTAGTTTCGTTATTTCTTTATTGCGGGTTCCTGCAGTCCTCCTTATCTTGGTCTCGCCTCCGCCCTCCTTCACTATCCCTCCAAGTAGCACGTCGCATTTTGACGTACACGTTACCTAATGCCAAAAATCGTCGTACTAGAAAATGGTAGCGGCTCGCGAAAGTGACGTACTGTCCCGTTTTCTGTTTACTGTCCTCTGGAAGATTAGGATAAGGGGGGCCCTTTTAGTACGACAGTTTTTTGACGTAGGGGACGCCCCAGGAGGACGAGGTGCACCGTGACCTACCTGCTGAGCATGCGCTAGCAACACACCACTTCACCGAAGAGCACACGGATGAAGACTGCGACCCAACCGCGTCGGTCGAATCACTGGTCGATTATGCTCTTGATGCGCTCGAAGCTTTCCCCTTCCCAGTCACATGCCCCGAGTGGGGGTCAGCCCATCCCCCCCATCCTATTCCCCTCCCACGGCCCGGTTGTCTGCTCCTGCTATGCCTTCTCGACCTGCTGAAGGATATGATCGCTAGGGAAAGGTTGGACTCGCTCACAGCAACTGGGAGGAGCATGTTTTAGAGGATAAGCTGACCTGAGAGAGAGTGGGAGGACGCGGAGAGCGTTTTACGAAGCTGTGACTGGTTTAAATCCGGAAAGGGTGAACAATGGAAAGGTAGGGAGGAGGAGGGATGGGAGGGGGGAGGTAAAACAGGTTGAGAGATGGGGAACGTCAGATGGGGGAGGTGGGAGGGATGGTGTCTGGGTGTTTCATGAGTACGTGATGTGTTTAACGTAGTTAGTGTTCAAAGATGAGGGGTGTCCGGGTACTGCAATAAAGAGAATGTGTCTGAGTTAGAAAATGAGTGACCTTTAGCTTAGGTTGCGCAGTCAGTTCACAATCGTCTGAACCAGAGCTGAATTACATGCGTTTCCTAACACCAGGTGCTTCTCTTCAACTGCACACCTACTGCACGCCCTGGCGGGGAGTTATAGTGGACTGATGTGGTTTGCATTCGGTGCACGTGCAGCGTATATGATGGCCCTATGTGTCTGTGTATTCTCCTATTTGTGCTTGCAAGATCTATAGCTCTTAGCTCCTGGATCCCGCCTTTCTAACATTCGGTTGTATGCTGACACGTGCACACACACACACACACACATACACACACACACAGGGGGGCCTCGTAGCCTGGTGGATAGCGCGCAGGATTCGTAATTCTGTGGCGCGGGTTCGATTCCCGCATGAGGCAGAAACAAATGGGCAAAGTTTCTTTCACCTGAATGCCCCTGTTACCTAGCAGTAAATAGGTACCTGGGAGTTAGTCAGTTGTCACGGGCTGCTTCCTGGGGTGTGTGTGTGTGTGTGTGGTGTGGGAAAAAAAAAAAAAAAAAAAAAAAAAGTAGTTAGTAAACAGTTGATGACAGTTGAGAGGCGGGCCGAAAGAGCAAAGCTCAACCCCGTAAAAAAAAAAACACAACTAGTAAACACACACACACACACACACGTGTGTGTGTATTACCGTTAAAAAATATTGTGAAAGCGTCAAACAATACTCTGAATGTCAACAAAACAAACCATCTTCCGAAAAAAAGATAGAACCAAAACCTTCAATGGATGAAATATACAGAACATGACCTGCTGTACCGGTAGTATATCTGCTGTACCTGAAATACAGGTACAGCAGCAGATATGAATAGCGATACAAAAGATGGGAACTGGTTTATAATATGGTTGTCTACACGGGTGACTAAGCTGGATCTAGTTCACCTTTGGGTCCGACTTTCACTCTTGTTTGAGGTGCTAGGCTTGAGGTACTAGGCTTGGGGGTGTTAGGATTTGAGGTGCTAGGTTTGAGGTGCTAGGCTTTGAGGTGCTAGACTTTGGTGTGCTAGGCTTGGGGTGCTAGGTTTGAGGTGCTAGGCTTTGAGGTGCTAGACTTTGGTGTGCTAGGTTTGGGGTGCTAGGTTTGAGGTGCTAGGCTTTGAGGTGCTAGACTTTGGTGTGCTAGGTTTGGGGTGCTAGGTTTTACCCTGCGTGGCTTAGCTACGTCTAACCTTCATTTAGTGAGTATCTAACCTACAAGATTCAAGCTCTAAATTGTCTTTAAGACGTGAAGGGTCTGCCACATCTCATCTTCAAGACGTGAAGGGTCTGCCACAGTCCATCTTACTGACACTCTCAGCTAAGGTCTTACTGGAACGTTAACAATCTTCTGAATTAAACATTTACCTGTGCATGTTTACATGCAAAAGTTGCAAGTGCAACAATGTCTTATGAAAAAAAATAAAGGTACGGTACTTATCCGGAGAAAGCGCAAAGCCAGTTTGACTAAAAAAAACAAAGCCAAAAGTAAAGAAATTTTTTTGTTTTTTGTTTGGTGCCAGAATGGTATTTGTTTAAATGTGCGGCACATGTTTGCATGTGTTTGTTATATTAAGTATAATGAGTTAAAAAGTTATATCACTTAAATAATGATGTTAAGCAATTGAAGAGATATTATTATTTTCCTCAGCACTCCATAAGTCGTTATTGAGGTTAAATGTGTCAAACTCAATTTCGAAACAACAACAGGGGAAACCCTAATTCCAAGCAACCCTAATTCGACAAAAATAGCAAAACCCTCGTTCAGCATAAAAGCGAAACCTTAATTCGAAGCATTTGTGGAAACCCTGTTTCGAAACACTAATGAAATCCTAGTTCTCAACAACGGTGAAACCGTAATTCGAAACAGTAGCTAACCCATAATTCGAGACAATGGCGGAAAGTGTTCGCGACCACCCCTTCTCCCCCTTCCCCAACAGTGGGCGGAGTCTCGCTGCTTGTTTCTTGCTTAGTCTTGCTTAGTAAGCTTTCTTGGTGGAGGCTGTCTCTGTGCATGAGGCTAGCAGCAGGATGTACGAGATTGGCTCGTTGCTTCAGAAAAAAAGGCGGAGTTGCTGTGTTTATTTTTTGCTGAATGAGTCTTTTATGTTCAAATAGCACAAGCTAGCTGCTTGTGCTATTGGTAAAGCTGTTGATGGGAGGAGTTAGCTTTTCGATGCCAGGCTTGGCATAGCCGTAAAAACTATGCCAGGCGTTGTTTTACGTGAAGGAAACATAATTATTTTTTTTAACTGGCACATTTAGGTCTGTTTGCATTTGTGTAGCAACTTTAGAGAGTATTTTGACAATATGAAGTGTCTAAGGACTGGGCATTCGGTGATGTAGTGTGGGAGATTTTGATTGTTGCCGCCGAAGGCGGCTAGTTTATTGTGCACCCCATACTCCTCCTGTGAGCGGTAGCGCAAAAGCATTACAGAGGGCACAAAAGGTCTTTATCAGACCTCATCTTAGATTATTTCATAAACAATTTCATCTATCCTTCACACCTTATAGTTACACTGTCAGCTAGTTACAGAGAAAGTGCTATTTCAAGAGCTACATATTTACAGTCATGCCGCAGTTCCTGCTCCCAGAGTTTGCACCTGGAGTGCTCAGGATTGGAAGACCTGGCCGTCACCTGTACCACCTGCCACAGGTGGCAAACCAGTAGATAAAAAATATAATTAGATGCTAACTCACCTATATTTTCATGAAGGGCCAAAACTAGTTCTAGTGTCCTCGAATGGGACAGGAAGCCGGCTACTTGTCAAAGGTAGCCGCCTCTCTCCTCTTGTTTCAGTGTCCTAATGCTGCTGTCTGTTTAGAGGCAGGAACCACCTGTGGCCCGCTGCTCAAGCGATGGAACACAACGCTCAAGCAGTGAAAGGCAAGATCTCTTACTACTGAAAGTTCACATGTAAGAGCGGTGAGGTGTCCACGAGTTTTTGTTGAAGTGTGGCGGAACAGAACGCTGTGAGAAGGTGCTATGGGGCACGTGCTCCTATAGGCATGGCAGAAATATAGCAAATATACAATTTGGTCAACAAACAGGAAATCGTGCATGAGCAAAGCAGCCCTAACAAAAGCAAACAATGAGCCAAACAACCCTAACAAAAGCAAACAATGAGCAAAACAACCCTAACAAAAGCAAACAATAAGGAAAACAGCTCTAACAAAAGCACCACGCACGATTGGAAAGTCAAGCGAGGGTCTTTGGGTACGGAAGAGGAAGACTCGTTTATGCCCCCCCTCCCTCCCTCCCCCCTTCTCTCCATATCAACCCCTCCCCCCGTCCACCCCACCCCCCCCAGACCCCTCTCCCAACAAACTGGGTAGGAGACAGTCCCGTCTTCCCAGTCGTGGAGTTCCTGTATTGCTGTCTGTCTCTCTGTCTCTCTCTCTCTGTCTCTCTCTCTCTCTCTCTCTCTCTCTCTCTCTCTCTCTCTCTCTCTCTCTCTCTCTCTCTGTAATCTTGGTCTTAACCCTTACAGTGAGGCATTTAACGTCGGTACAGTTAATTGCTAAGAGGTTAGGGTAGGTTAGTTACGTTAGGTTACGTTCCGTTAAGTTACGTTAAATTAGGTTACCTTAGGTTAGGCCAGGTATAGTAAGTCTGTAAAAAAAAAAACTTATTTGTGCATTCTGTCCCCTTGGGTTGTCACAACGTTATAAAAATGATGTACTTAGTTACGCGAATCGAACCTAACCCAATCTAACATTACCTTACCTTATCTTTCCATACAGGGAACTACTGAAAGTTCACATGTAAGAGCGGTGAGGTGTCCACGAGTTTTTGTTGAAGTGTGGCGGAACAGAACGCTGTGAGAAGGTGCTATGGGGCACGTGCTCCTATAAGCATGGCAGATCAGCATCCTATATCTCCTATAAGCATGGTACATCAGCTTTTCAAGGCAAACTCAAATATTCACAATAAATTAGTATGTCACATATGCACTTATTCATAAGCAAGATATTGACTATAAGCAAGTGAGAGAACGGGTTGCAACCAGGACATGATCATAAACCTATTTTATTTCAGGTAATTGATCACAGGTGTGGCGGGGCTCCCCTCTCTTCCTACTGAGGCTGCTAGGTGTTAGGAAAATATGTCTTAAGAAGTAGATACTTTCTTAATCGCTGATGATCCGAGCGCTGGAGAACTTACGAGGTGACACATGTATCTTGATCCACAACATGGTTCTTAAAAGGTTCAAATGACACAGCGTTTTTACTGTGCTTTCTCTGACGTTACGATTTACTCTGTGATCCGGATTAGTGTCAACAAGCGTTCTCAGTGATCCGGATTGAAGGCGATACATGTAGCCTGTATCCATGCGAAATGTCTGAGTTATTCTGGCCGGATTATTCTATTTTAAGTAGGATTTAGGAATAGGTAAATATGTAGAGTATAGTTTATAATTAATGTCAGAGAGAGAGAGAGAGAGAGAGAGAGAGAGAGAGAGAGAGAGAGAGAGAGAGAGAGAGAGAGAGAGAGAGAGAGAGAGAGAGAGAGAGAGAGAGAGAGAGAGAGAGAGAGAGAGAGAGAGAGAGAGAGAGAGAAGAAGAAGAAGAAGAAGAAGAAGAAGAAGAAGAATAGTCACATAAACATTTAGCAGAGAAGGCTAGATAAATGACCAACAATTTAATTGTTTGTAAAACGTTTAATGTTATGCAGGTAAACATGTTTTACAGCGAGTGAAAGATGGCTCAAGTCAGTCCAAGCAGCGCGGTCAAGGGTCAGCTGAGAGGGTCAGGTCCCCCAGCCAGGCCAGGCAGGCGGGTCGAGGGCCACCCGGATAGGTGTAGTGAAGGAGGCACTCCGGCAGAAGGTGGACGTTGAGGTCCCTGGCGAAGTGGCCCCGTGAACACGCCCACGGTGGGCGGTCCAGAAGGTAATGGGCGGAGCTCCCAGCGCTGAGTAGGTCCCGGCTGGAGGCACCTGCTAGGGAGACAGAATGAGAAGTGAATGAATGAGACAGAGACAGACAGAGACACAGAGACAGAGAGTGTTGTAGAAGTGTACCTGTTGGTGGGTGTTTCCGCTGCCACCGTGGACGAAGGCCTCCCTCCTGCTCCTGCTGGTGTTACTGGAATACTGCGCCACCTCCCGAGGCACGTCCTGCTCCTCCTCCTCCTCCAGCTGCGCCTCCGCCTCCGCCTCCCACAGCCTCCGCAGATACCGCTGACGAGGGCCCAGAGTTCCTGCTTGGCGCCAAGTTTGGCGATTGGCAGATATTGATAACTTATTCAGAAATTGGTATATGTTACGTTCAGAAAACAGCACAAACCCCCAGACACTAACGTGATATATATATATATATATATATATATATATATATATATATATATATATATATATATATATATATATATATATATATATATATATATATATAATATATATACAGGGGTACCACCTCTGGTGCAATTGTAAGGACTATTCATCATTAGACATCTCATCAATGACTACTCATCAGTGACAAATAATCAGTGAGAACTCAACAGCAGCAACTCATCAAAACCATCCCATTATCATCAATGCCATTAAGGACTACCCATCTATGACAACTCATCAATGACACTTGATGAATACTGGCTCATCAATAACGACTCACCGTCCAATCTGAAATATTATCAGATCATTCACTGTCACCGGACCTCTTTACATATGAATGTGTCATTAAACACGTGTTTAAACCTCACCAGTATCAGCTGTGCCTCACTACATAACCCTCCATGAACATAGACTCACCCATATGTGCGTAGTTATATTCAAATCACGATGATTTGTGGTGCACAGAAAATGGCTGTTGATTTGTTTACTATTCGAGACGCGACTGAGGTTGCCATGGCAACGCGTCCCTGGGCCATCTGGTGGTGAATTTTGGTAACACAAAATATGTTTTTTCGCATTAAAAGTCACATAGTTTATAATAGTTTGTGTTTGTTTATGGTTAGAAATTTGAATATTAAGGAGCTCCAAGTTGTATTTAAACCGCAGGGCCCATTGCATATATAAATACATGTATAAACACACATACACACACACACACACACAGGGGCCTAGCGGCTGAGTGGACAGCGTTCTTTTGTCGTAGTCTTAAGGGCCCGAGTTCGATTTCCGGCCAAGGCAAAAGCAAATGGGTAGAGTTTTTTTTTCAGCCTGATGCGCCTCTTCATCTAGCAGTAAATAAGTACCTGGGAGTTAGACAGCTGCTATGGGCTGTATCCTGGGGATGTGTGTGTGTGTGTACTCACCTATTTGTGCTTGCGGGGGTTGAGCTTTGGCTCTTTGGTCCCGCCTGTCAGGAAGAGTGGCTTGTTTCCACTGGCATTCGTTGAGGGAGAGGTTAACAACTTTTTCCAGCATGGTCTTCAGTAAGAGATAAACACACACACACACACACACGCTGTGTGTGTGTGTGTGTGTGTGTGTGTTTATTTACTATTTGTATTACTATTTGTGCAGGCATGTTGATCGAGCTGTTAGCTCCTGGACCCCACCTTTCTAACCGTCGGTTGTCTAACGTAATGACTCCCGACTTATTTTTACCTCTATTATAACTACTAAATATTTCTGGGGGCCCTTAGCATGGGCTTCCTGTCTCCAACAATAGGAAAATAACCTAACGACACTATTATTTTCTTTAACCAAATAGGAAGCGGAATTCTTCAAAGAAAACGGAACGCCTGTAGTGGGGGACTTATCTGGAGACTCGGTCAGAGCTACCAACATCAGTATGCAGAGAAAAGCTTTACAGTAAGAGCGTATGAACGTGTTCACACTGCGGTTAAGACTGAGTATAAACCAAGAACATTCCCAGTGGTCACACTATCCAAGACCAACGTTAAATCAACGCCGTTAACGTTGAATCAAACGTTAAAATTGGTTATTGCGTCCACTGGGATATTCCTTCCCATTTATTTATTTATTTATTTATTTATTTATTTATTTATTTATTTATTTATTTATTTATATACAAGAAGGTACATTGGGTTAGAGAGAATACATAGCATAGTATTTACAATCTTGTAAAGCCACTAGTACGCGCAGCGTTTCGGGCAGGTTTCATATGTGAATTGAGAATTATTTTTAGCTTTGCAGCTACAACTTAGCGTCTTTCACGTGTAGGTTATATGTATCAGGCATGTGAAAGCTGGCTTGATGTGTGGGTTTGCAACGGCAAGGTGCATATATCTACCCAGCTGCCAAAACCATGATTAACTAACCTTAAATCAACAACGTCGGATATCAAAATCGTTTTGCCCAGCTTTGCCCAATGGGTTCCGTCACTAGCCAAGTCTTATACGAGCTGTGACAACATCTGTTCGTCTACTGACTTTGTTACTTGCCCCATACACATGTTTTACTTCACACATTTCATTGTGATAAACAATGGACCTGCTAGTTCCAGTTTGCACTGTTCTACTTCAAATTCATCCAGGAGTTCTCGTCTAATGACACTTTTAAGGGACCTATTTGATAACTCAAGATTCCGTTCAATACTGTCTTTATTTACTACAGCCTTAGCAAGGGCGTCAACTTTATCATGTTCCTGCAGGCCAATGTGAGAAGGAATCCACAACATTTTTATATTTACCCTCTCTATCATGTCTGGTTTTCAGTGTGATTAGTCCTGTATCTTCAGTGTGTTATTGAATATGACCAATCAAAGGATTAGATCAATGATTCTAGCCCGAATCTTATCTGTGTTTCTTACGTTCATCTTCATTTTGGAAGGAAGATGAAAAATTCAATCTCCAAAGTTCATTTTATAATTTCAATGGTCTGATGTTAATTGATGAGTTTCGTTGAAGCTGTCAACCTTTTCAGAGGCAGAGAAGCGGATAGGAATTAGTTGATGATTGATGAAGATTGAAGATAGTTTTGTCTACTCATAGGTACTTTTCCACAAGCATTCATAGGTGCTTGTGCGTGTGTTCACCTAGTTGTGCTTGCAGGGGTTGAGCTCTTTCGGCCCGCCTCTCAACTGTCAATCAACTGTTACTAATATTTTTTTTCTCTTACACCACACACACACCCCAGGAAGCAGCCCGTGACAGCTGACTAACTCACAGGTACCTATTTACTGCTAGGTAACAAGAGCATCAGGGTGAAAGAAACTCTGCCCATTGTTTCTCGCTGGCGGCGGGAATCGAACGCGCGACCACACGTCCAGTGTGCTGTCCAGTCAGCCACCGGACCCCACAAGCACCGTGTGTGCTTGTGCGTGTGTGTGTAAGTAGTTATTCTGTCTAATGTGACGCACATATGATCCTAAATGACGCACATAAAGTCCTAAAGACGCATATATGGTCCTAAATAACGCACATATGCCCCTGAATGATGCAAATATGGTCCCTGAATGACGCACATATGCCCCTGAATGATGCAAATATGGTCCCTGAATGACGCACATATGGCCCTGAATGACGCAAACTGTTATCGTAATCGACGAGGAACACTCCTATCAAAAAAATATCCACCTACAAAATACAGGCTCTGATAAGACGGGTAAATATAGCAGGTGTGTTTTAATATCGTGTGGCGCAACTCCCGTCAGATAAATTGAATAGCAACGTTTTTTTAAAAGCTTCCAAAGATTGTTATTTTTTATTTTTAACTTTTTTTTTTCTTTACCCTTCCCCCAACTTTTCAGCGCTGTTGCGCAGTTCAGCTGTTGCGCGCCTTTGCTGGTGCGCACCCTAACTGGATAGTTTTTTTTGGGGGGACTGAAGTATAGTGTGAGAATGTGGGTATTTATCCGCTAAAGTGCGCAGCTAAGTTGCAAAGGGTCGAACACAAATTAATAATAATAATAATAATTTGTTTGGGAAAAGTACATACATAGTTGCAGAGTTACAGTGCAAACATTCTGTTTGATTTAAAGATAGAGGTAGTACATACAATATCTAAAGCCACTAGTACGCCAACCCGTTCTCGCACTTGCTTATAGTCAATATTGGCTTATTTAATAAGTGCATATGTGACATACTAATTGATTGTGAATATTTGAGTTTACCTTGAAAAGCTTCATAGAAAACCCCGACCTCACCTAACCTTCTTAGTATGTTAAGATAAGCATCTTATTGCTTCTTATTTACAATTATTAAGCAAGTGCGAGAACAGGTTGAGTACGCATAGCGTTTCGGGTAACGAAACGCAAACCTTTTTGCTTTCGGGCAAAAGGTGCTCGAGGATACGAAGAGCGTTAATCCGTCACGTTGGTCACATCTGGAGAGAGCTGTTGTCATCTGGAGGCTGGCTACAGCAAGGCGGCCAGCATGCCCCCACTGGGTGATGCTGGACCGCCAGAGGAAACAGTACCGAGGGTGACCGCAGCTCACTTGATTAAGCGTACCTGGCAGCGCCCGGTACGACCGGTACGCCCGGTGACTCGTTCCCCAACCTCCCAACTGTCCCTCCCCCCCCCCACACACACACACTGGAGTGTGTGTGCACCTCAAGAGGTGCACCTTAAAACTTAAGACCTAAAACCTGAGTGCCGTTCAGCGGGGAAGGTTAACACGTCATTCTCTCATTAGTCTCATGTATGACGTTTCTTAAAGCAAATAGAGTAAATAAACTCTCCCCCACCCCCCAAAAAAAAAACATTTACATAGAATTAAGCAGTTAATACACACTAACAAGGGCGTGTCCGCGAACCCTTCTCCCTCACATTAAACTGTCATCCCATCTGGGGACCCATAGTCAAACCCCATCAATCAATTCCGATGTTTACCGATGTACCTGATGACTTCCTGCCAATATCCAGAACGAGTCAGACGCGACCAACGTATCTGGAAGCAGGTCATTTGGACGCCTCTATTATACTAGTGGGGGTTTCCAGCACAGGGGGAACAGACACCCCGGTGACAAAAGGGGTGACACACGCACACACATACACACTTGAGCTATACGTTATTCCTATAAGCTCTTTATTCCTGTGGATAACATCTGTGGGCTGTCGGCCACATTGCAACTGGTGACACTGCAAGCTGATGGGGGCCAGGATAATATGAAATAAGTACATATAACAATGAATCCAGGTGAATGGAATAACAATGTGATTTAGTAAGGTTCGTCAGAAGGATTCACACAATGTACTAAGTACGAGTTATGTCATGTTTACAGACAACTGTACTGTAGGTCAGATATTTCACGAGGAAAAATACAAAAATGATTTAACAGGAAAATCAGCTAATTTATTTTGATGTTAAAATGCTTTTTAACACGTACTATAAGAATTTTAACGTGTTAGTGTGATTTGTTCAATATTAAAGTCTTTTCTTAACTAATTGCTGTTTCTCTAACGAAAGACTTGTTGAATCTATTCAACAAGACTGTCTTAAGGCTCTATGCTGAACAATATAATGAATATTAATATACTGAACCGTATCCCATACGACTGGAACCGTATCCCATACAGCTGGAACCGTGTCCCATACAGCTGGAACCGTATCCCATACAGCTGGAACCATGTCCCATACGTCTGGAACCGTATCCCATACGGCTGGAACCATAGGACAGAATTATGGAATCGGGTTTTATGTTTTATTTAAATTTTATGCTATAGAGAATGCGTTCGGTGTGTTTACCATTATGCTGGGTACAGAGACTCAGAAGAGGGATCCAGGAAGCACTCACACTGTGAATGTCATCAAGAGTGATGGTTCCAGGCTTTTAGAACAAGATTCCAGACTTACAGGACAAGGTTACAGGCTTTTAGAACAGGGTTCCAAGACTCGCGAGACATGGTTCCAGGCTTAATGGAACATGGCTCCTGATTTAGTGAACATGGTTTCAGACCTTTGGGGCCCCCCACCCTGTACTATAAAATGATTTATTTTAAGATGACTTTAAATTAGCAATGAAGGCCTGGAATATTTAGTTCACGTGTAAAACTGTGAGTAACATGTTGAAGAGGATACATTAAATAGATCGTTGCAGTGGATGTAGTCCATTTAATAATCTAAATCTTCGTAAGGAATGTCTCTAAGTTCTTGGGTCATCAGGAGATAACGTGAGAGGACCCTTTGGGGACAATTTCAGAAGAACTTGAGGGACCAATTTTTCAGACTTCGAACTCTCGTCTTCGTTCCCTCCTTCAGGTGGGCTCAGTGGAGCTCGACCAAGGCCGCCAGAGCTCCAACGAAGGCGGCGTTGTAGTCGCATGCGACCTCGTTGTGGACGTAGTCCATACGGTCGTCCGTGTAGGAATCGTCCTGCGGGAGAGGTAGTAGAAACTTGCAGGCGATAAGTCACAATAACGTGGCTGAAGAATGTTGACCAGACCACACACTAGAAGGTGAAGAAACGACGACGTTTCGGTCCGTCCTGGACCATTCTCAAGTCGATTCTCAATCGACTTGAGAATGGTCCAGGACGGACCGAAACGTCGTCATCCCTTCACCTTCTGGTGTGTAGTAGAAACTTGTTAGAAATAGTGGCGCACGTGCACACACACATACATTTAGAAAAGGACAAAAATGAAAACTTGATAAAATGGAAATTTGGGTTACAAATAGGGCAGAGAGAGAGAGAGAGAGAGAGGAAAACATCCGAAGGATCTTCATCAGTACAAAGATCGCAAATAAATAGCACGAATTGAGTCCAAATGCAATGCCCAATTTTCACATGTAAATACTGTAAACAAATACAGCTGTAAATATTCAAAGCATTAAATTACAACTGTCAGAAAGGTAGGAGGGAGGTGTATGAGCAGGCCCCTAGCCACTGCTAGCCCATTTAGGTAAAGGAACAGACAAAAGACAATCTTTCCTGGAAAGGGCCAGCAGAGGTAGTGTCTTACCTGGCCAGGTCCGCCGACCAGAGCGCCGTAGAGAGTCTGCGGGTTGGGTCCGGGCTGCTTGTCTGCCCAGCCGTCATCGCAAGCTCCCGGTAGTGAGGGGCACGAGCTGTAGGGGCAGGAAAGGGGGAAGGGGAGGGGGGAATTAGTCTCCTTAGATAGTTCGGTTTTTCGTCACGTATAACGGAAGTTTTTGTCGGGAATTGGAAGTTTGATGGGAATCTGCTTTTAACGATTATATTTTGTTGATATAGTTGATTAAGTGCGTGCAATATTGACAACTTAAAAAGAATATTTGAGGTGAGAAATTTGTAGTTGAAATGGGAAAAACACCAGTGACAATAGTGTGTGTGTGTGAGAGAGAGAGAGAGTACCTGGAGCGGTGATGGGGCCTCCTGGGAGGGTCCACGCCGAAGCCGACGACGAAGGAGCGTCCGGTGTCTCCCAAGATGTAATCGATCTGTTTGGTGGCCCACTGGCGGTTCTCCTCGGGGTCTAGTCCCTGGTTGGCGTTCTGAAAGACGCAGAACATAATCCTTCATATAGAGAGCTAGAGTTCACGCGTGCCAAATAAAACTCTTCTGTATCAAAGTTAACATTACTTTCTCTCCGTACTTCCCTTTGCTTTCAAACAAGTAATACGTAAAGAGAATTATATATAAAACACATTACCGAAGATTCTGAGTGATAAACAATCGCCAACAGGATCCTTTTTCCATTACCCAAAAGAAGAGGAAGGCGACGTTGGCGGCGTGGCGATTGGGTCCCCAAGTGTCGAGGTAGACGAGGCCCTTAGGGGTGTAGGTCGCCTCGTTCTTCAGGTACTCGATGTAGGCCTGGATGTCTGTCGCGTAGGACGTGAAGTCCGGGTCCAGCAGCGTCCCCAGACTCTGTCAGGAGAGGCCTCGTTACCATCGTTTATCTTAAGACTTATTACAACCACCACAACACTTTCCAAGCAACCAGCAAGTATACTTTAGTCTTGAACGTTGTCCAGGACTAAAGTTAACTCTGTATATGTATACATACACAGAGAAGCTGCGTATACTTCTTGGTGTATAATACTCCTTACATCGGTGAAGGAAAACAGCAAGAGGACTTACGAAGGCTCCGGCCCTCTTGTCGTCCCAGGAGAACTGTTGCAGCTTGTTGTTGGGGGTGACGGGGATCTCAGCATAGTGGCCCCGGGCTCTGTCCAGGTAGGTAGAGTCCCCTGTGGCACGGTTGAGCCAGAGAGCAGCCCACAGTAGCTCGTCGTAGTACCCACTCCACGACCTGCACGGGGTAGATACCAATGAGATTAGGGAATGGAAGCACCTGCTGGGATTAGGCACACAGTAAGACCCACTGGGAATAGGGACATGGTAGGAGCTAATTGAAATAGGAACATAGTAAGACTAACTGTGGTTTTACCATTGAATGAGAGTCATCGAATGTGAATACTAATAGGTCTACTCTCTCTACCCAATCACATGTCTCGTATAACCTGCTTGGCCACAGGGGCACGCCACGGGGGAGACATCTCCCGTCACGCAGGGTGCAGTCGCACCTCCACAGATCTCCAGTATTAGCTCTTGATACTGGTAATGGCTCAAAAGGGCCACCACTTACGGGCTATTCACGCCCGTGCCACCTTTTGGGTGGCTTAATCTTCATCAATCAATCATCAATCAGGGGCACGCGGGAGGGCCAGGAGACTCACTGGTAGTAGCCAGCGGCGTCAGGAATGGAGATGTGGTAGTGCTCGCGCTTGGCGTCTGCGAACTCGTATAGTTCGCTTGCCACAGCCAGCACCTGGGCGGAGTAGGCAGGGTCGACGTCCTGAGAGAGAGAGAGAGAGCGATAGTTGTGTTATGGTGGTGTTGATGATAGTGCTTATCGACGGTTAACTAGGTCCTACATATAACTTATGGTCAGAGGCCCTACTCACCTTGAAGACGATGGAGGCGGCGGCGAGGGCGGCGGCTGTCTCTCCCGCCAATTCACTCCCTGTCGAAGATAGTTAATGTACTTTACAATGCACGATAGGTGAATGTGTAGCTATGTGTGTATGAGTGCGGGCGTGAGTGTAAACAAACGAGGTGCTGAAGGCGACATTAGACAACTCTGTGAGACACTTAAGTGTTCCAATGACAGGTATCACAGTAAAGAACATCAGGCAAGAGGACAATACTTGGTCAACTCGTCACAAAATATGTAATTCATAATATCGCTTAGAGTAGTAAGTCATAAGCTTGAGACGCATGTCACAGGAACATGGCTCGAGTCACAAGCTTGAGACGCAAATCACCAGTTCGAGACGAGTTCTCCAACTGGTGAGTTCGAGTTCGAGAAGTCACCAGCCGGAGAGGTGACCCTAAGACTCACCGGGCGCTTGCTCGTCGATCTTATAGGAGGGACGCTCCATAGTCATGTCCTCCGGGCGACCCCAGTACGCGTGATCGATACCACCGTTACCAACCTGAAATATACAAGTTAATAAATGATTTGTAAATGATCAAATAAACTGTTATATCCTGTCACACTATGAGTCTCAAGAGACTCATAGTCTCTGAGGCTATGACTATGAAGTGGCTATGACTGAAGTGTCTATGAGTCTCAAGGGACTCATAGTCACTTGAGAATGGTCCAGGACGGACCGAAACGTCGTCGTCCCTTCACCTTCTAGTGTGTGGTCTGGTCAACAGTCTCAAGGTCGTATTGTTTTGTCTGTCAAACCTGATAACTAATGTATGTGTGATAACGTTTATTATTTATTTATTTATTTATTTATTTATTATTATTACTATTTTGATTAATAATAATTTGTCATATCTCTTTTTTCATTTTTTGTTTGAAATTTGAATATGTTATTATTCCAAGTTTACGGGCGTAATCTTGTGCGGTTTGCTGTATATGTGGAAACATTTTGTAAACTAAATTTGTGGGTTAGAACAATATGTATACTATATTATTAATAATATATATTGAAATAAGAATTCATACAATATTCTATAAAATTTTGAAGATTTCTCTCTCAAATCCGCAAGAAATTCAGTAAGAATTCCAAATTATAATTTTAGATTTGATGAAAATTAAAAAAAAATCTCCCCCTCCCATCCAGAAGATTTACAGATCTAATCCACAAATTTAGTTTACAAAATGTTTCCACATACAGAGTAAACCGCACAAGATTACACCCGTAAATTGGAATAATCCCAACTCCGAAGAGCGATTGAAAGTGTACGAAAAAAATCCCCGAAGCAGAGAGGCTTCGTACCTGACCGTAGAACTCCCAGTGGGCGGTGTAGGCCTTGAGGAAGTAGTCCGTGGCCCACTTGAGGGCGTCTCGACCGTATTCTGTCTGGCCTGTTAAGACGTATGAACTTTAGGTACAGAGCAATTAAAGAAGAATTCTTCTGTAAACAGTACAGAAGAATTTGTAAATGTTCACCAATAACAGTTGACGGTGTTCGTTACAAGAAGAATATTGTTTACATGAATTGAAGCTCGATCACTTGTAACTAAGATCGTCTGAAACAGAACTGGAAAGGAGATTTTAATCACAACTAAACTTTTGAGCTCGAACTGTTCCAAGAAGGAAGGAAGCCTCAGCCACTCACCTGCAGCCTCGTATCCGTCAGCGAAGTCGAGGAGTCCCCAAGCGATCATGGTGGCGCTGAAGGCCATGGGGAAGCCAAACTTGACGTGGTCCCCGGCTGGTGTGGGACGGAGGGGGGGAAGGGAAAGAGAGACGTGTTAACTTCTGGTATAGATGGGGTACTAGACTAATGTCTCAGTATGTCTCTATCTGTCTCTGTCTCTGTCTCTCAATCTCTTACCGTCATAGTATCCGCCAGTGAGGTCATGGCCCACGTCGGAGCCATCGTCAAGCGCGGAGTCGTACCTCCAGGTGACCCTCTGATCGGCAGGCAGATGTCCAGACCTCTCAGCCTCGTAGAAGAGGATACCCATGCACAGTACCTGAAGAAGGGAAAGTGAGGCAATGGCGAATATAAGTGAAGGTAAAAGTTAAAGATGAGAACCGGGTGGAGGGAAGCTCCAGCCAAATACAGACGATATAGACTGAGAGGAAAAGAACAGAGAGAGTTGTTAGGAATCGAAATGAGAAAGATAAGGATACAAATAAAAAAAGGCCACGAGGAAGCTATGTCTATCTCAGTATATCTATCTATCTCTATCTCACTGACCTGGGCGTAGTCATAGGGGCTCATGCCGGTGGGGTCACACGGGTTCTGGAAGGGCGTCACCGTGGTATAACCGCCCTCTGTGGAGGAGAAAATAAAACCAGGTAACCAGAAAGAGCATACGGTAGCCACCTGCTCTCGCACAAGACAGCACATATATGACTTATTGCTTATAATCACCATTTCGCTTATAAATAAGTACATATGTGACATATTCCAAGCCATATTGCTTTTTCAAGGCACTAACTTTAGGAACGGTAGGGGGGTCATATACCTGACGATGGAAAGAGGGGAGGAGGGTCCTATAACCACAGGTAACTCTTTGTATCTGGTTATGGTACCAAAGAACCCTAACCAAAATGGGGAAAGAGAAATGGGGGGAAACTGAAGCTGTCTGTTGGCCTCACCGCACAGGGGAACACCGTTGAGCGTGGCGGCTGTCACCACCGCCTGGGCTCCGGGGAAGTGAACCTGCATCTTGAACTCAATGACGTCGCCGGCTGAGCCCGAGAGGCTGTCCTCCCTCAGGATGAAGTGGTGGTCGTCCACCTTCTCCGTCGTTCCGTCGTAAAACTGCGGGAGAACACCCGGCCTATGAGCTCACGCCGCCAGGGATTCCGGTTGTTGTTGTTGTTTTAGACTTAGCTACTCAGAACGAAGTGTCCATGTAGCACGGGCTAGGGTGAGCCCGTAAGGGATTACGGTGCTTGAGGGGATGCAAATACTTCCGGGAGGATTCATGAAGCTGTCTTATAGTTATCACAACTGGGTGGATATAGTGGCAAGGATAACAGGTCTACGAGACCTGTTATCCTGTCTTATAGTTATCACAACTGGGTGGATATAGTGGCAAGGATAACAGGTCTACGAGAGATTGGGTCGGGTTATGAAGATAACATAGTGAGAGCGTCTGAATCACGTTGTACTATTTTACTGGCATGACTGATATCTGATCTGTAATATGATATCAGATAGATATCAGTGTGGTATAAGGAGAGTATCAGGTATCAGTGTGATATAATGAGAGTAACAGACGATAATGGTTGTAGTATAATGACACTCTGAGGCAAGTATATCAACATGGGAGTAACTCGAGGCTGCTTGAACACTTACGTCAATGGAATCGACAGGTCGGTTGAAGTACAGGTCGAGGACGAGCCCTGAGAAGTCGGCCGGGGCCGGGGCCGAGAACACGGCTCCATAGTTGTACTCCCACGCGTCCCCAATCGTCACGTACTCGCACTCATAGGCCCAGCCTGCAGGTGGTAAGAGTACAGATGATTACTTTCCACCGGTAGGCCTATCCTAACCCGCCAAACACACACCGAAACTACGACTTTGGTACAACATTCGAACAAAGTTTTAACGCCTCCTAATCAGTTATAACAACCAATACAGCAAGTTGTAATAACGTTCTAATACGTCATAAATACGTTAAGCCAAGATGTAACAACTTTATTACAAGTTGTAACAAGCGGAAAATAGAGACAGTTTCGGTTTGTGTTTCCAGGGAATCCATCGTCCTCCCAATAAAATTGCTAGTTCTAATGGCAGCTATTTGGTAAACGGGCGAAAATGGACCGTTGGATACCCCAAAATGTTCATTTTTTGTACTACTGGAAAAATGGCATTTTTAAAACTAGATCAGAAATTAAGTAACTTAACCTGTACAGCACCTAAATAAGCAATTATAGGCTTAGAATACAATATCTTAGTTCAAATTTACTACATATAAATACTATTTTAGGCCTAGGTGTAAACAATGTAGGCATTTCTCAGCTAAAGTTTACACACCCGAGATGCAAGGTATCGTGCACATAGGAGCCTGTGGATATGAATAACAATAATTCACCTTGGACTATCACCAGGTTGGATATGTCCCTGAAGAACTGTTCTCATTTTGGGGTCTATAAATACTGACCGATAGCCAGCCTCCCATACTGGGCGATGCTACACGGTCACGGATATCGTATTGAGCGTGTACATTTCTCACAGGTGGAGCGGCCATACCCGATCTCAGTATTTGCACCAACTATAACTCAGCCTTATATGACGGTACACGAGAAGGGAAGCAGTCATGTGGAGGGTCGTTCGAACAAGCATCGAATCTGATTAGGTCACAGCTGCCACAGACGGCCGCGTTTCCTATCCAGGCGAATTTAGAGCCAAATGGTCCATCTCTAACTGACTTGCATCAGGTTACGCTGCTTGAATTGTCCCTCTTGTTATATCGCACCGGACACAGAATCATTCATGGGTTAGCACTGGTCACGTAAGGGTATATAGCCGTGATCACACCAGACTCGCGACCTGCATTGTGTATAGAGAACAATGTACGTGGGTCAAACGAAGCAATTGTGAGAGGGGTAACTCCGAGTTTATTCACCTTTAGTGACTCTCAGATTGTGTTTGCGCCAATACCCTACGACTGAAGGTCGAAGGCTGCAGAAGCTGTTAGCTACAGCACCATCATCTTCATCATTAATTACCTCCTGCCAGTGGAACGAGGTCTTCGGATAATTGAGATGCTAATTACAGCAATGGTCACCCTCTCCTCCCCGACCCTGTGGTCACAAGTGTGAATGGGGAATCATGTCTTGAGACATGATTCACAATCGACTTGAGAATGGTCCAGGACGGACCGAAACGTCGTCGTCCTTTCACTTTCTAGTATGTAGTCTGGTCAACATGTCTTGGGAGTAAAAGACGTAATTAGTACGTACTACTGATTATTGAGTAAACATTGTCTCCTATGGGAGCCGAGCGGACAGCACACTGGACTTGTGATCCTGTGGTCCCGGGTTCGATCCCGGGCGCCGGTGAGAAACAATGGGCAGAGTTTCTTTCACCCTATGCCCCTGTTACCTAGCAGTAAAATAGGTACCTGGGTGTTAGTCAGCTGTCACGGGCTGCTTCCTAGGCCTGGTCGAGGACCGGGCCGCGGGGACACTAAAAAGCCCCGAAATCATCTCAAGATAACCTCAAGATATATCCGTGGCTGGCCCTGCTTGGTTCACCTGCAAGCACCTAGAACAGGTGCTTGCAAAAGGTGGGATCTGAGAGACTTATGACATATTCCAAACACATACCAGGTGTGTGTCCTGAATAGAGTGACGTTTCTCGCCAGTTCGGCCGAGTACAGCGGACGTGTCGGCGATAATTACACCACACACGTGGCTATGCCAGGTGTGTGGGAGGTGTTCATGTGTTGTGCATGGAAACTGAAGCCTGTGTTTCCACACTGGAATTTCTGAAATCCGCTTGCAATTGCGGCAGTGATAGATAGGAAGCTCAATAGTAAAGTGAGTTATATGAGCCAATGTAAGAGTGTGTACCTCGAGAGAGTTGAAATTGAAATAAGTTTATTGAAGTAAAATACACACAAAAGGATGAGGCTGCTCAAGCGATTCTCACCTCGCTTGAGCAGCCCTCGATTCTATTGTTTGATTGGTAAACAGAGCAACCCGTCCTCTTAAAAATAACGTCACTTTTGGCTCGTATGCGCACTATGGCCAAATTTGGACGTAATTTGAAATGAAATCGACTCACAAAAGTGACGTTTTGTTCCGTTTTCTATTTGAGTCGTCCGGCGTACGCGCAGAGGTTATGAGAGGACACTTTAAATTAATGTTTTTCATAACGTTTTAAAACTTTATGAGAATTTCCTGCCCACCTAACCTATCAGAGGACCCTTAATTTACTGTTGTTGAAAAAAAAAATCCCAAATTTATTTTCAATTTTTTTTTCATTTTCAAATTCCGTCCATATTCGGCCATACGGGCAAACGGCCAAAAGCGACGTTCTTTTTAAGAGGACAGGTTGCTTGCCCCAAGCCGTATACACTGAATTACGCAGCTGACTAAACAGTCACATTAAAACACGTCGTCGTCCCCGTGAACGCTTCTCCCTACATCTATAAACTTTAACGTTAACCGACATACTCCAGCTTCCCGCCTAAGTCCTTGGGTCGAGCAAGACACGACCACCATCCGGCATAGTTCATTTAAGACGCCTCTCTTACACGTGGGTTAGCCTCAAAAGGGAACAGACATCTTGCAACAGGGGGGGTGACACGTGTGAGTTATGAGTTGTTGCTCTGTTCATTTTGCTCCTTTGATAGCCTCTGTGGGCTGTCAGCCATATTGCAGCTGCTGACATTGCAAGCAGAGGTGTTCAGAACAAAATTTGAAGATCAGACATTAGGAAAGTTCAGGTTTGATTTTTGTCATGGGCCTTTATAAAAGTAATAGTACCTAACGTAAACTTTTTTTTTTGGCTGCAACATTGCATTTTTGTTCGTTCAACCATATAATTGTTATCAGCACTATCATTTTTGGAGGCTGGGTTCAGTGGCAAAGGAAGATTAAGATTACGTAGGCCTACTTGCACTGGGAAGCCCATTTTGCACTCGAAATAGTTTTGCAAATATTACTAAGAAAGTTTTGTTGTTGAAATAGATATCTACCCTAATTATAAATATGTATATATATATATATATATTATTTCACTTCTGCGTGATGACTGTATGGGAGCACTGGATATGTGTCTGAAGTCTGTTCCTGTCTCAATTCAATGAGAATAATGCTCGCTGACACAACGAAATTAAATAATATTGTCTGGAACTTTAAAGTCGACAACTGGTTTTTAGAAACTGTATTTCCTTAAGAGAGAGTTACTGGTACTAGTGTCCCCTGAGGTCAGTAGTGTGACGGTGGTCCTGCCTTGGTGCAGTACCTGTGTGGAGGAGGGCGGCGACCCCCAGCAGGAAGGTCCTGGTGAGCGCTCCGGTCATGGCTGCGGCAGGAGACACTGTGGCTAGGGAGAACGGACGCCTTCCACTGATATACCCGACCCCCCACCATCCACGACCCCTCCACTGATATACCCGACGGGTCTTCTACGACCCACCACTGATATACCCGGCCTATCTTCAGGTCCTTCCCACGACCATGTTCGCCGTTGTTTTGCGTTTCTTAATTCAAAATCAATTAAGTAATCAAGGTGGTTTTAACACTATTGTATTTCTGTTCATGTACGACGGGACATTCCTGTCATGTTTGTCAGTAACTTCTGGGCTGATGCAACTGTAAGACTTTGCTCGAACTCTTTTTCTCTCAGCACGAACACTTACAAGATCCCTTCCATGTATGAACATCTACCTACTAGAACACATTGCAACATGAACATATTCTGTAAGAACACCTTTTTAACACGAATATCTGCAAGAACATTGTGCAAGAACACCGTTCTGCATATGTCCCTCGACCATGCCAAATCAGAAGGCAACAAAAAGTCGAAGATAAATAACGATCTATTCTTGAGAAGCACAATCCTTTGAAGGGTTGGATTGACTAAATCACTTACGGGAATAGCTGCGATTGGTGCCTCCCTTCGCTCAATCACAGAGGCCGCGTCGTTATTCAGAAAGGTTCAGTGTCGCTTGTGGTACATACTTGGAGCAGTTCGCTAAGTAGCAGAGCAGTTCGGGGATGTGGCGAAGAGTGCAGACTAGATCCTTGATCAACTTTCTTCATCATCATTCCAATAGTCTGATCCACGGGCCCGTTGGTGAACCATGGATGAGACGATTGGAATGATAGAACTCAACCACCAGAGATCTCTCTTGTAGGTGACTTTCGCAGTAAGTCAGCCAAATAATTTTGGAGATTTCAAGCTGAAAGCACATATGGCACGTATGGAGTCAGCAGACACTACGATAATAGATGATTAGACTTAGCTGTGGTACAACATCTCAAGACACTGATCCACCATAGGTGCACGGACCTTACCATTCTCTAAGAGTCCTGACCAAGAGGTAGTTTTCGCCTCACATTCCACTAACTGTACCAGCCAATATCGCCTGTAGCACTTCACATCACCTCATCCTGTTTGATGTATAAAATATAATCCCAGTTGTTGTTTCCTTTCAGCACTGCTCCTGTACCAGGTAAGTCCACTACGGGCTCACCATAGCCCGTGCTACTTGCCCCGCTCCTGTGCCAGGTAAGTCCACTACGGGCTCACCATAGCCCGTGCTACTTGCCCCGCTCCTGTGCCAGGTAAGTTCACTACGGGCTCACCATAGCCCGTGCTACTTGCCCCGCTCCTGTGCCAGGTAAGTCCACTACGGGCTCACCATAGCCCGTGCTACTTGGAACTTTTGTTCCGAGTTGCTGAATCTAAAACAACAACAACATGTTGTTTCCGTTGGGAGGTCCGGAGCTAGCGTTGGAAGAATCATAATGTTGTTTCCTTACGGGTTCACTATAGCCCGTGCTACATGGACATATCGTTCTGAGTAGCTAAATTTAAAACAACAACAACATTTTTCCATTTCCCGTTTGCTTCAGTGATACACGTCGAGCCCATTGACGTTTTAAAATCGACTTTAAAAGTTAATTTTATAACTTCTTTCCCAAGTGAAGGACAACACAAGTTATACAACAAAGAGTCGTGTTAGAGCCATTGATCTAACTCCTTCGGGGTTAAAATCGGTTTCTGCAGAGTGTATCTATGTTGTCTTTCATTCTCCCATAGTTCTTTTCTGTCACGATTCTCTTTAGCTGTATTTTGTCTTTATACACAGATATGGGAGAGTCCGTATCTGAGTTTGCTGGAGCTTTCTATTACCTACACCAGAGTGTTTGGAGGGGATTATATGTCAAATGTTGGAGTGCCTACCAGCTGGTTTCTCCAGACTTCCAGTGGATTTGGACGAATCCCATGATGTATAATCATTACCATGTCGTGGTCCAGGGGGGTAAGGTGTGCGTCTGGGATTACCCAGGACGCTGGTTCGATTCCCGTCCTGCTCCGGTGACTTTCTCAGTCTGTTTACGATTGTTATCTCGTTAAAGTGAGGGGTAAAAATAGGATAGTTTGAAAAAACTGCCCTTTGTGTATTTCCCTGGCGATCATATCCTATTAGGAACTTCCTTCCCTCACCGTAATCCCACCCAAAACGTACTCGGTTATCAGGCCAATTACTACATTTTTTTCTCTCCTCTAGCTTGTATGACAGTCCCCAGTGAAGGACTGTGGTTAACGAGAGGCGAGAATAGAACATATTCCATCCGCCTCTTCCTCTCCTGCGCGATCACTGTGATTTTGTCATCAAAATTCCAACAGATTTGTTATTCATGACTTTTCTCCCCCTGAACTTCTGTTCACGAGCAGAGATACAATACTGTGTTGCCTCCTCGTTACTCACTGTAGTAATCTACTGTGAATATTTAATTGATGACACCGGTCCGTACTGCATTAGTACATTTCCTGTCTTCCTTCTTATGTATTGGTATTACCACTCACTGTTTTTTGCTCCTTATCCTCCTGAAATGTTAGTCCTTATGGTAACCATCTGGTGGAAAGTACCAGTATGTGGTGATGGACCGCCAGAAACCCACCTAGCGGTCCATCACCTAAAGCTAAAAAAAAAAAAAAACATTCCTAGGACTAGTATAGCACAGATATGTACTATATTAGGTCTAAGATGGCCTGTATTAGGTCTAGTATTACTAGGAGAGGTTAGGTTAGGATTTTATATTTTTACTGCAGTTATAAAAGTTTCAGGTTGGTCGGAATTCAGTAATACAATTAAAGTTTTTTGGGGGTCCATCAATATATATATATATATATATATATATATATATATATATATATATATATATATATATATATATATTTATATGTATATATTGGTATCATAGACCAAATAGTTACTATAAGTAATTTTATTTCAGGAGGCTGGGCTGAATTCTTCCTGTGTTGAATTTTTCCGGTGTTGAATTTTTACTATGGTTAATTTTTCCTGTGTTGAATTTTTACTATGGTTAGTTTTTACTACCTCCTTGGTGGTGCCTGGGGCAGTAAGACCTCCTTGAACCATTTACGTATTATGTCTCACGCTTCCTTGTCATGTTTCGTGGATCTTCTCTACCTTCTTCTGCCGCGTCTGGTAACTAGAGGAGTGTTGTCGTTGCGTGAGACGGGCCAGCTGGCCTCAAGGATGGACTGGCTCGCTCGTTCATGCTCCCGAAACCTTTTTAATCATATTTACGTCTGCAGAAGTGGCTTGATAAGGTCTATTAGCTCAGTGGTACTCTTCCCTCCCCCCCTCACACTAAACATCCATAAGCACGTTTCTCTCCGTTATCCCCTCCCCCCCAGGGGTCGTATCTCCCCGTTATCCTCTTCCCCAGGGGTCGTATCTCCCCGTTATCCTCTTCCCCAGGGGTCGTATCTCCCCGTTATCCTCTTCCCCCAGGGGTCGTATCTCCCCGTTATCCTCTTCCCCCAGGGGTCGTATCTCCCCGTTATCCTCTCCCCCAGGGGTCGTATCTCCCCGGTATCCCCTCTCCCCCCAGGGGTCGTATCTCCCCGTTATCCCCTCCCCCAGGGGTCGTATCTCCCCGTTATCCCTTCCCCCAGGGGTCGTATCTCCCCGTTATCCCCTCCCCCCCAGGGGTCGTATCTCCCCGTTATCTCCTCCCCCAGGGGTCGTATCTCCCCGTTATCCCGTCCCCCAGGAGTCGTATCTCCCCGTTGATATGGAGGAGAAGCTGTTACCCATGCAGCAGGTCCCCCCCCTCTCTCCACGGCGCCGAAAGCCTCCAATGGAAAGGCGGACGCTAATACGATTGGTTCCAGCGCCGTCGCAGGAACTGTTGACCTCGAAGTTGGTGAAAAAGGGCACAGGGACCTCCAAACCCGGAGACCGCCGTGGTCGGGGCCGGAGAAGAACCACCCCCAGCAAGGAGCAAGAACGACCCCAGCCTCCTGAAGCAGACCCTGGGGGGCCGCACGAGCCCCAGGAGGTGGACTTCAGAGCCCCGCACCTACGGGTTCCTGACAGAGATCGTCAGAGCGCTCTTGCACCCGAGGCCGACGGCTTCCTTCAAGACCAAGCAGAAGGAAGAGTGATAATTATGTAATGATAGTGATTAACGATAGGGTAATATCGGTGATATACGGTATTATTAACGATAACAGCATAATTATTAATGATACGGCTATATATAGCCGTATCATTAAAAAGGTAAACATAAGTCTTGAGTGTCATGGGAAGCGGAGACGAAAGCCGCTCCTGGCGAAGGGTAATGTACAACAACAGTGTACCAACAGCACCGTCAGTCCGCTGCCGTGAGGTCTTGGGAGAAAAACCCATTGATAACGCTACATATATTCATAAAAAAATGACGTCCGAGAATTCTAAATCGGTCAACAGGAAAAAAAAAATTGTACCTTTATCTTGTTCTTGATGTCACCGGTTTGAGGCGACTGAGTTTTTTTTCAATAAGGTAAGGTAATTATCAGGAGAAAGCGCCTAGCCATTACGGCAATATAGCACTTGGAAGGAGGGGTGGGGGTGGGGGGGTTCAGGATAAGGATTTGGGATGGGACGCGGGGGAGGGGGGGGGAAGGAATAGTGCCAACTGATGTAGTCTACAGCTGCAACATAAAGCGAGTTTAAAGCAGAGTCTGGAGAGTGCAACTCCACACACACACACACACACACACACGCCATCTGACACTCGCGTGGAGAGTCTCTCTCTTATCATGTAATTACGGCTTGAAACCGAAAAACTCTGAGAACAAGTTACATGAATCTCAGTAAAAGTTCGAGACTTTTGTTTTATAAGTTATATGAAATCTACGTGAATTATAGAGAAACTTTGTAATAAATAGTATAAAAGTTGTATGAGCAATTAAAACAATTCTTATAAAAGTTATTCAGTAATCTTAATTGCTAAACAATACATCAAAAAGGCTATAGTTTTCCTGAAGTTGTCCAACACTCCAGCGATCTCTGCGAGGTGCTTAAATTTCCCTCATGCTTGGAATAGATACAATGTATGAAAAATTGATTCATGAAATTATACAATGAATGTAGTATATAAGCTGGAGGAGTGTGCAGGGCATGGAGTGAGCAGCTTCCAGAGAATGGAGCCCTCTGGTCAATATTTAGAGCTTTGGTCAATCAGTTCGAAGAGAGAGAGAGAGAGAGAGAGAGAGAGAGAGAGAGAGAGAGAG